GGCGTCCCGCCCGCAGCGCCGGGCCCAGGGCCAGGCCTGCCACCGCGGCACCAGCCTCCTCCGGGAAGCTCCGGGGGCTCGTGGCATGTAGCGCCCGCGCAGCCGCCGAGGCCGTCCAGCGCGGGGCCGTATAACCAGGGCCAGCCGGGGACGAGCGCTTACCGGCCTCCACAGGTGCACTTTGCGCCGACACCGACAATGTCGTCGGCGGCGCCGCCCCAACAACAGCAGCAGCAGGCACCACCGCAGCAGCAGCAGCAGGGCGGCCGGGGTAAACTGCCGAACCTGGTTTCGGGACTGCTCCAGGGCCCGTATGGGAACACGGCTGCTAGCGTTAGCAATTTCTTTCATCGGGACCGAGCCGAGGAGGAGAGGAAGGCAAAGATTGCTAAAAAGCGGAGTGTGCATTTCTAAAGCGTGGTGGCACGTGGGGAGATAGCATATGGCATTTCATGTGTATGTAAGGCGTTTGAAGGGGGTCTCATTGTCACGCGTAGGCATTTATGGTTTCTTTGGAGGGATATACCATGGGCTGAGCTGGACGCACAGAGTTACGAATTCATGATGAGCATTTCAACTAGTTGAACATCGTGCCGTTGAGTGCTAACGAGTTGGATGACATATTCTTATGGTTAGCTGGTTCAGGCTGGTTGAGATAAACGTAGACCCATCAAGGTAGCTGGCCAACCCTTATCAGCGGCAAGAACGACGACATCTGTAAGCAAGCTCCATGGTGTGGAGGACAAAAGACCCTCTATTTAAGTGAATTCGTCATGTCCCTACCTAACCTCTTACGCGGGCAAGATCAGACTCTTTTGATACTCATGGTATTATAACCTTGATATCTCGTCACGCCTAACTCTATAATCTAGTTGATGTGACCGAAGGAAGCCAGGGAGACTAGTATGCGATCTATGGCATGTACTGTATATGTATTGTGTTCATGCGGAACACTTCGATATGAATGGAGATGGTGGACGAGAAAGTTTCTAAGGCGAGCCTCGTTGCTTCGATAGGGGGAACTAGCACATGGACAAATTGCGATGAATGGCGCCGACAGGTAAAAAGACTTAGGTAAAAATACGTGAATCATCAAAATTTTCAGAGCGTGGATTGTCGCCCTGTTCTCCTGTGGCTTGGCTGATGGTATCAGAACCTTTATACGCCGGCGACCTACAACCCATTTGCCATCTCACTTGCCACGTTCTCACGCCCATGAGCTCGACATCAGCGCGTCTATAAAAGATGACGCAGCAGATACCATATAACGTTCTTCAATGTTGTCTGCGGATATAACTCTGAGAAAGTCTCACGTCTCAACTATGAACTCCTCCATGGCATGCAGCGGTCGTGATGTCAGCGAGATGCGTATCACCAGCCAGGCGTGTTCTTTGGTATTACTCGCAGGATGCTGGAGATGAGCCAGAAAGCCATTATCTACCTTATCCTGAGAAAAAGCGTTTCATAGCCATGGACGCTGTGAAGGAGCCTCGAAACCGTGATCAACTGGGATTTCAACTACACACGAGCAAAGCGGATCACTGTTCGTTGGCATTTTTGGAGGACAGTGTGAACATGGGATGTTTAAGTATCAAGAACTTGTAACCTCGAACGACGGTCATCGTGAGAGAGCCGACGGGCAACTTACTGCAGCGCCTGCCTCTTCCATCGACCGCTTATATAGGGCCACTCGCCTGTCTTTCTCGACTTACATCGGCCAAATGATGGTCTCGCAGTGAGGAATCAGATTGCTTGAGTACTCGTCAAATGTTGACATATTATTCAATGAGTATTCTTTCTGCCCAATAAAATAAGCTGACTATCAACCATGACTTTGGTGTGATGAATACAAGACCGAAAATGGAAGGAAGTGATGGACCACACCACAGGAAGGCACCTGGACAAAGGTGGTCTGTGCTCAATATCACCAAAAACCAACGTCATACCCGGCGAAACCTTCTTCCTGTGCACACCGCACGGACCATACCGATTACGCTAGCTACCAAAAATTCTCATGATGGGTCCAACCAATGCTATCTCTGGCAGCTTTGCTGAACCTCTACTTGGCCAACTCCCAGCTCACCCACCCAACGACGCCGACCTCCTCCGTTCCCTCGACGACTACTTTCTCGCCAACGAATTCGATTGCGACACCCAGCGTCTGCTCTCGATCCTCGGTTGGAAAAAGGCCCTCCGCCAAGGTCACCAACAGCAAGCGAACCTAGTACGACTCCAGAAGCTCGGTCTCCTCGCTTCCTACCCCGTCGGCTTCGACTTTCGTCTCCATACGCCCCCGGGACACATCCGCGATCGCATCCTCGAGATCCTCGCGGCCAACTCTAGCGCACCCAATCTTTCGTCGCAGAAACACACAGCAACCGCCAAAATGGTCCAACTCACCGAGGTCGAGGACGAGCACTTCCAGGGCGCCCAGGCCGGGCCCATCGAGGACGATGCCGACTTCACTGACACCGGTATGTTTTGCGCCGTCCGTAGATGCTGACTTTGCGGGACAACTTTTTTTCGTCCTCGAGTCGGCCTGCCCACTACGTCACAATCCCGCTAACCCACCCCGCCAGACTCCGAAATCTCCGCCGACAGCGACTTCGACCCTACCGACGAGAGCCTCGCCGAGCGCCTGTACGCTCTCAAGGACATGATCCCCCCGACCACCCGCGGCTGGGTCCAGAGCAAGGTCAACTTCGGCGTCAGCGCCGTCCAGAACACGTGGTACTACGGCTCCCGCACCGTCTGGGTCGTCTGCGCCACCGCTCTCATGATCGGTGTGCCTCTGGCCACCTGCTGGGCTGAGGACCAGCAGATTGAGGGCATGGAGCGCGAGTTCCGCATGCGCGAGGCTGGCGGCGAGCTCCTGACCGCCGGCGGCGACGGCAAGGACGGCGAGCAGAGCACCGCTGACATGCTTGGTGCCCACCTCGACCGCGCCGAGGCCAAGCCTGCGCTGTAAAAAACCAGAAAACCAACGATAAAAAAAAGGAAGGGACGCTGTTACGAATACCTTACGGGAAGGAAAAGAGAATTTCCCGGGCCTGATACTTCTACACGAAAGGGTCTGGCTGGCTGGGGAAAACGAGAGGAACGACTGCGCTACGCCGGGATCTGTACGATTACCACCCGCTCCTACTCGGACACGAACTCGCGGATTTTCATTTTTAATCTCTGCGCCTGTCGAACAACATCAACACTGTACATCAGACACCGAAAACTCTCTCACACCAACAACACACACTCTCAACACCTAACGGAACTTTGCATGCATTGCGGTCATGGATGGGGTGGCAGGAAGGGGTTTTTCCCTGCCCTTTTGCTTGTACTATAGGACGTTCATGAAGGGCCACGATTTGGGGAAAAGGCCCATTGCAATCATGACCAATTCTAATACCCACATGGTTCCCTGATGATGTGACGTGGATGACAGTTCGAGACACACAGAGTTAGCTGCTGGCAATGACTGTGTAAGTGAGGATGAAGATTTTCCATGCCACATTCGTCTATAAATTTCTTACGTTTGGGTTGCGGTGATTGAGCTGGCCGGCGCGACGAGATCTTGATGATCAGCTATTCACTTTCACGAGCCCGAATGGTGGCAGAGAGCTCTCGGCAACCTTTGCCCAAGTCCTGAGCAAATCCTGAGTAGTAAAAGGCCGCGACAGTCAAGCGCTACCAGGGGTTAACACCACAATACGCCGCAGACGGAGAAGGACAGCGAGGTGATGGGGCCATTGGGCGCCTGCGGCCGACGTTGAGGACCCTGTCGAACACTTCGCAGCCTCTGGCCGCCCGCGTGAGTATTGCAGAATAACGGAAGACGTGACTCGAAGATATCTTTCGCCATATTCCAGGCCTCACTTGGATTGCTGAGACCAAGTCTTGGGCTGTGAGATCATTTTTTATACCCACGCAAGGCGGGCATTGATCTTGGGCTTGTTAATGGTGGGCATCAAGATCGTGAAATGGTGTTTGTCTCGTGGAGGAAGGTCCCAACTATGTATAATCACCTGTCCACGAAACACTGAAACGCTTCTGGTAAGGCGAATCTTTGATTAGCTTGGCCAGCTCGTTTCACTGATATCGTACTACATCGAAGTCATTCTTCGAGTTATGTGGTGGCCAGAGATCTGGACCACATCAGGAACTGCAATCTTCCACGTGAGGTGTTCGTCGCCGAAGGATACGTTAGTTATACTTGGATAACGAGGCAAACTACCGCCGACGAACAGGTACGATTCGCTATCTTGCAGCTTTCCTACTGCGCACGCCTCGTTGGTCCTACCTGCTTCGCTTTGCGGACCAAGACGAAGCCATGACATCGACAAGTTCATGATTGTGCAGAAGAAAAGTTAAAACTTCGCCAGGGCGATGTATTTATATCAAATACAGCGGCCGTCACGACCTCCAATCATTTCCTTAAAAAGATCTAGATACGAGACGTCTTTGGCCTACCATTCTCTCACTTGAGGCTCAATGATGCAGGTATGATATGCAAATACCGTACTACACACGTACTCGCATCAAAATTCGCCCAACGAGTTGTCAGCAACGGCATTAACTCAAGACTCGACGAAGCACAGACAACCCCCAGGACCCCGGTCCGCCTACCTACCCTTTTCCGAACATCCCATGCAAAACCTCCGGGATCGGCCCCATCGGCCCGCTCCGTGACTCTTTCGCCTCGGAACCACCGTGATCTACAATCTTCAACTTCTCCGGATTCCAAGACAGAAAAGGCCTCCAAAATCTCACACCTCATGACACAGGCCACTTCTTTTCATACAAGAAGAAAAAAAGACAAGACCGTCAGCGGCGCCGCCTGGTTCTGATCTAGTAGCCGGTGCTCAGACTCTTATCGGACAGCAGGGTTGTGTGTGTGACCAGTGGGGCATAGCCAGAAGTCGCACAGACAATCTTCTACACCGGAGGCGTTCGCTGCGTTGCGGATAAGTCGCGCGCATTTACGACGACGCGCCGTGAACGTAAACATGCCGAGCTCCAAGACTGCAGCAGATATGGACTTTAGAGCACTTCCCAAGATCGAGGTAGTAACATCAAGCTTACCCTACCCCGCTCATCTTGGCGATGTGGACTAACACGTACTTACCCAGCTCCATGCCCATCTGACGGGCAGTGTAAGCCGTCGCACGCTCCACGAGATATGGGCCGTGAAGAAGGCGGCGGGGGAGACCGAGCTGGAAGATCCCCTCGTTGTCATGCCGGAGGATAAACATGACTACAACCTAACAACGTAACTTACCCACCCGGTCCTCCGTCGATGATCCTCACTGACTGTGTATCTAGGTTCTTCCCCCTCTTCTCATCATACATCTACAACCTCATCACAGCCCCAGAAGCCCTCCGCACGGCAACTCTCTCTGTATTGAAGGACTTCCATGCAGACGGCGTGACGTACCTCGAGCTCCGGACCACGCCCCGCTCCCTCCCGTCCCCAACGCCGCAGCCGCCGTCAGTCTACGTCTCCACGATCCTCTCAGCGATAGCCGAGTTCGAGGCGGCGCACCCCGGCCCGGAGACCATGCGCACGCGTCTAATCCTCTCCGTCGACAGACGGCACACGCCCGCGCAGGCGGACGAGACGGTGCGTCTCGCCGCGCAGTTTCGCGACCAGGGCGTCGTCGGCGTAGACCTCTGCGGCGACCCCGCGGCGCGGTGCCACGGCGTGGACGGGCAGGACAACATCTCCATCTTCCGCGACGCCTTCGCGGAGGCCAAGCGGCTGGGCCTGGGACTCACGATCCACTTCGGCGAGGCGGAGTGCTCCGGACACCCCGACGAGCTGGCGGAGATCCTGTCGTGGGGGCCTGGGAGGCTGGGGCATGTTATACACCTCGGGGAGGACGTGAAGAAGGAGATCACGGCGAAGAAGATTGGGCTGGAGCTGTGCCTCAGCTGTAACGTCCACGCCGGGATGGTCACGGGCGGCTTTGAGGGGCACCATTTCGGGGAGTGGTGGGGTGTCGAGGGGAGCGTGATTTCGCTGGGCGTAAGTTTCTGCTGCTGTTCTTTTACCCTGAATGCGGGCTCGCAAAGACGGGGCTCGTGTGTGTGGATGAAAAGAAATGTGTTCGCTAACGTTGTAAACAGACAGATGATGTGGGTGTTTTTGGCAGCCCGTTATCGAACGAGTACAGGCTGGTGGCTGAGCATTTCAACCTGTCTCGAGATGAGGTTTGCGCACTCGCCCGACGGGGCATTGACTCCATCTTTGGCGGAGACGCTGAGAAGCAGCGCCTTCAAGACGTCATGTGGTGAACGATTGATGACGGAAGCATGCCTATACAATTGTGAAATAGAAGATAAGATCGAGATCAAAGTCGGCTTCCTCCAGCGGTTGATCTGCACATACAAACTACCTCTTCGGCCACGTAACTTCAACGTGGAGGCTTTTGAGTTATCGTTTGGACCTCTCGTTCCCGGGAAAATAGCGGGAACGTCGAACACTCCGGTCCCGAGTCCGGCGGGGAGACTTTACGGCCCCACGCGAGCGGGGTCGGGGCTTCGGCCGTGTCCCATATCGGGGGTTCCCGCTAAACTGGCTTGTGCGTACTTAGAACCGTTTCGTCTTTGGATAGATTAGATCGGCGCTGCTCAGGCAGAAAGCTCGTGGCGTCGAAGTAAAAAGAAAAAGTCAACGAGCGAAGATCCCAAACATCTGTCGAAGGAGGAGGTGACGGGCAAAGTAGCAGATGACTGGCGATTGAATTTCTCCGCTGCTTTTGGAGGCTAGCTGACAGTGATCAAGTGATCAACATAAACAGACATTGTATGTATCTGGCCCAGTCGCCGCAATAGATCAATGGCGCGTTGCTTTGAGATGATGTGCCGATTACCCGTCTTGCGTGTACGGTTGTGCGAGTTCAGCCGAGGATTTTGGATTGATTTCAAAAATGTCCTTGTGCAGATGTCTGCCTCTGTAAACGTGCACCACGACTGGATGCTAACTGAATGGCTTTCGAGGGGATATCGCTGCAAGTCAAAGCGAGATCGTATCGCCGAATCGGGCAAGTCACTAAAAATAAACATGAACACCCGATCCTCCGATGCCGAGAGGTTGACTTTTCCTAGGAGCATTATTGTGATATGCTTCTCCGGTCTCGAGGTCGCGGACGCTGGCTGTGATATGGCACGTATGCAGGAAACGCGGCTTTTCCGGATACAACATCCACATTGGGGACAGTCGCCACCCTTTCTGCAGAAGGGTTGCAGAGGGTTTGGGCTAGTTAGCATATCCCAAAAACTCTGGTTGGGAGATCTGGTTGATGGCGAACGGTAGATGGTTCCCGCTAAGTTGGATCAAGCGTTTGCCCAACAGACAAGGACGTGCCAAGCTGCCAGGAGGATCCCTCGCCCTGTACTCTTGCTGCAGACGTGCCCCAGACCTTGACTGATCTGGCGGTAGGGCTAAGAAACGGGCAGGTGTCTCGCCTGCTGCAGCCTTGAGGCTTCGTGTGTGCTCCCTTGGCGGGAGTGTGTATCGTCTTAATACTGCCTCGGGCCTGTGAAAGAGGGGTTGGTCGAGGCATAGCAACATGGCAACGGGCCGGCGCGTTGATTTGGCGCAAGCCGCGGACGTCCTGCAGGAAACATTGAAGTGTGCCAACATTATCTTAGTGGTAATGGGGTTGTGATGATATTCGTCTCCGTTCCGTCGTTGAGACGACACACGCACCCAAACGAGGTCCGTGATGGTCAATGTGTCTCCTGAGAGGCTACCCAAGACCTCGATCCTCAAGGGACGTTCCCATATCAGAATGTGAAACGATAAACATGAGGCGAGCGGTAGTCAAAAGCATCCCGAGTAGTAAAGAGGGGGTTGGGTTGGAGGAAGTGAAGGGGCAATGACGATGGTGAGTGCTATCAATCAATGCAGTAGTTGGTAGACGACATAAACCAAGCAGCGAGCGGATTCAAATCCGCAATCCCGAGTGGACAACAATCTCTGGAGACCGTGCGCTTCCCGCAAGGTAGGCGGGATACAGATATGCGTCGTTGTTGATGACGGTTGACAGCCACGTAGTTTGCAATCTACTTGGATTGTCTGCCCAGTCACCGGGCAAAATTTCCGTCTGCTTTCTCCCATCGGGCATTACGCAATGACCAACAGGTCTGTCATCACGTAAGTTCGCGCCCCAAGGAGAGTGCGGAGTTTGGGGTGAAATCTCCGACTCGGAGCTGATGAATATAGTTGAGAGATATAGCTGAAGGACAACTGACTTGTTCGGCAGTGACTTATTCGCTACTGGCGGACGAAAGATTCACGCTGCAGTCGTGGCAGTGGCAGACGCAAGTGCACAGCAGATATCCCTTTTTCTTTCATCCCCCCCCTCTTGCGTCGGGAGTTAGCAAGATGTACCGAGATCCAGACGCCATGCCAGCAAGCGCCATTGTGCATTGACGGGGACTGGCCAACCCATTCTCGGCCTGGGATTACTTTTAGCTGCACATTGGGCTGCCGGCTTGCGACACAGTGTGGGCTTGACTAATCGCCGCTCGTTGATTTGGACCTCGTCCCTCGTCGGCAGAGGCATGTAGTTGTATTAGCGTACGGCCTGCGCCATCCTCCATCAGGCTCTCGCAGGCCTTGCCTCAGCAGGCAGGTTTGTTCCGCTGGCTAGCTGGTACGAAATATATGGCCGGACCAGGGTGTTGATCCCTGGATTCGCCATGTCGCATAGTATTGCTTCGTGGTAGTGATACTGTCGTCTGCGTCTTCGTTGGGACGGCATAGTCTTGCTCGAACTGTCGGAACAACGCCCTTGAGTGACGCGAACAAACATCGGGAGCCAGAGGTTTCCTATGCGACACAAGGAGCCGTGGCATGCCACAAGCTTACACGTAAGTTCGTGAGAGGTACTGGTGTAGCCATTGTCCAAAGTTGAAGGGCAACGGAAAGCGACAGCGACGGTGTTCCCATGGAACTCTGGGCGCGGAACGGCACCGAGTGGCAAGGTCGGGCACCGAATGACCGATATCTTGGGAAGGGAAGGGGAGGTCCATGTCGCATGATTGCATCGACACATTTCATTTTGTCTGAAGTATTGGCGTGTAGCAAGGTCTCTTTGTGTCATTGTGCGCTCTCTTCAGACGAATTGTAGATGTGATACTCCTCCAATTGATGCAGCCATTTCGCTGCCGACGGGCGCCGACGCCGAGTATTCTGGGAATGCCTCTGTATGTGCCTTTCAAGATGCGAGTGCCGATTACGCCGTGACGAGGACCAGTTTCGGGTGGCCGCGGGGGCATGGGGATGCTCTTTTGCCATTGATATCGTAGCTTCTGCCGCTGCCGCTGCCGCTCGCCGAAGCTAAGGGCTGTCCAACCGTCATGCATATTGGTGGGTTAGTCGTCGGGGGGGGCGAAGTGGAAGAAAGGGTCGTGAAGCCGCCAGCGCCGAATACAGTTCCTTTCGTGGCTGGCCTCTCGACAAATATGCCATCATCGGCATGGGTAGTGAGCCCAGCCAAGCCCGACGCATGCAAGTCTGACTTGTAGACTGGAGGAAGAAGCAATGATTGAAGCTTGGGGCTTGTGAGGGCACCGGCTGGGGAGGGAGCTAAAGAGCTTGGACCGTCCGCCACATCAAGTCTGCGTACACATTCATGAAAGAAGCAAGCCTGACCTGACATGAGACATGAGACTGACAACCTCGATCCTGGCACACAAAGCCTTCGGCGTTGTAAATTGAGCCGTCGGACTTTATTTGTACTGTGGAAGTGTTTGACGGACGACTGTGTGGTTGGATTCAAGATGTTTGGATACTTCGGGGGCCATCTCCGCAGAGAGTGGGATAGGGCAAGGATTGAGATGAAATCGGGCAAATGGGATGATTAAAGCTGCGTATGGCGGAAAGGCAAACAAGATGGAGGGTTGGATGGTCTGAGGTGGGTGTTCTGAATGTGTATCGAGATGGGTAGTTCGCCCAATGACCAGTGGCTCGATGCCGGACCCTGGCTGACATTGGCTAGCGGGGGCGCGTGTCCAGTCTCGTCCTGGTCGTTTCCCGTCCTTGTGCAGCGGCAGTGAAGCTCGTGGATGTCACTACTCGAGAACTCTTTTTTGTTTGCCCACATGTTTGCTTGCTTGCTTATTTGCTAGGCCGCCGTCAAGTTGAACTTGGTTTGCACTTGGGCCATGAGCTCGTCCTGGCCATCGCCCTCGTCCTTGCTAGGCAGGGGGATTTGATCGCCCAGGTCACCATTTTTGGCCAAGGTTTCTCGGTTGGTCCGCCGAAAAGTTTGGCAACCAGACGGACGTTGGCATCAACACCATCAAGACGAAGACGAGACGTCATGCCAGTTGTTGTTGGCTGCTCTCTTTTGGCCACCGTCCACAGGATGGCCATGAATCAGGTAGCATGGTATGGGAGGCTTCAGTCTTGGGTTTGGCGTGCTTATCTAGCAACCCGACTGCTTGCTGCGTGTGGACGACAGGCTGGTATTCGCAGAAACGTTGGGTTTGTGATTGCTGATCCTTTTTTATGGGAAGTCAAGGGCAGCAGAGCGGGCGTCGCATCGAGGTCCAGGTTGATGGGATGTTCTGATCTATCGGATTGCCAGTGTCGGGCCATTCGCACGCAAGCAACATGAGGTGAGACGTATGCGTAGCAAGAATGATGATGGAATTTGGATTCCAAAAGTTTCTTTTTGTCGATTTTCAGCTCCGCGGCCTGGAGGTGCGGATGACATGACCGCAATGTGCGACGTGAAGGCGGCGGAGGTGTCGTCTGGCTGGCTGCCAAGCCAGGACTCAGGCAGATTCTGATGATGAAGTCCCGGCTGGAAGTCTGATCAACGAAAATGAGGCAAAGGCGGTCATGAGAGACAGACCTGGAGACGGGACCACTGAAGCACAGACCATGAAGCAGTGGGTGCTCAAGTGGAGCTGGCCGGGGGAAGGCAAGAACGGGACCCGACACACTTGCACTGAGCATTGAGGGGAGGGGGGGGACATGGTTCGGCGCACACAACTGAGGTGAGGTCGGGTCGGTACCTGAGAGGCACTCTACAGGGACTAGTGCATGCATCCAATCTACTTTATGCCACTCACTGCTGTAATGCAGAAAAGGGGACCCGCAATGTGCAGAGTTGTCCCTCTGAAAATTTCAGTTCTCTCTAAAGGATGGTCTGTGCACTGAAGGCATCCACCACGTCTATTCGTACACTCCAGAGTGAGGTACCTGACGGTACCTCACGGAGCACCATTCGTGCAACGCTTCCTTACAATGTCCACGATGAAGCTGCGAATTATCGTTT